CTCCCTAATGTCTTTCTTGGGTCTCAAGTAGCCATGTGGTACTCAGAAGGGCTATGAAGGGCAGGGCGCATCTGGTTCCTGAACTTACATACCAGGGGTAGGCACAGGATATAAGACAACTGTGAAGACAATGCCTGGAGGATCCAACCCCTTCTAACATAGCCAGGAGGCAAAACTGGGACAGGTAGGAAGGGGTTATAGTGGGGCTGACTGCCTTACAGCTGGTGGTCAAGGTGCAGAGAATACATCCCCAGCCCTCACCACAGCTGCCTGTACAGATACCAGAATCCAGAGGTTCAAAAGCAAAACCAAAAGCTTACAGACAAACCAATAAGCATCAAAAATTAAAGAAGTTACATTTTATGACTTTAAAACGTGTAGTAGAGACATTATAAACCTGTCTGATGAGTATATCCAGGCAAAAAAATGTCTGAATTATATTTAACTGACAATTCTGAAGTCATTCTTATTTTATTTTACCAACTATTTTAAAACTAGCTTCATTCCCCAAATATTATCACATACATGTAACACATATTGAGTTACAGACATACAGACACATAGACCCAGCAGGTCTTATAGCTTTCATCAGGAATTCTCATTTGCCAGCTTTCAAAAATAAAACAAAATTTAGACAGATTAAATTTAACAAAGTTAAATTAAACAAAAAACAATTCACAACTCCCCACACCAAAATAGGTTGAGAGAGACTGGCATGGTCCAAAAAATTTTATAGAAAAACAAAGTGACATGTGAAAAATATAAAATACAAAAACAGCCAGATTAGTTACAATTCAAAGTTTTCCTTTTAAAAACACTTTTTGAACAGTTGGCCACCTGTGAGTGATTAAAATATGGCTTCTGTGATTAACCGAGACTTCACTATTTGTTACAAGATTCAGATGCAGTCCATTTACACATTCAGTTAGGTGCAGTTACCTATATGGGGAGAAAAATCTTCAAGCCAAACTTACATTAGGGCTAAACACTTGGGAAAAAATATAGAAAATTATTTATTTAGGTGATACGAGTTTCAAACAATTTTTTCAAATTCTTCTTTTGACTTTACTTTTATTTGTTTCAAAATTTTGCAAACATCCTTTTTTTTTTTTTTTTTTTTTTTTTTTTTGATATAGGATCTTGCTCTATTGCCCAGCTGGATTTCAGTGGTACAATCATAGCTTACTGCAGCCTTCATTTCCTGGGCTCAAGTGATCGTCTCACCTTACCCTCTGAGTAGCTGGGACTATAGGTGTGTGCCACTGTGCCCAGCTAATTTTTTTGTTTTTTGTTTTCTATAAGCAATGTAGAAATTTTTTTTTGGTTTTTAGTAGAGATGAAGTCTTGCTATGCTGCCCAGGCTGGTCTCAAACTCCTGAGTTCAAGTGATCCTCTTGCATCAGCCTCCTAAAGTTCTGGGATTACAGGCGTGAGCCACCATGTCTGGCCTGGGAAAATCTTATAATCAAGTTTTTAAAATATTTTTTCTCTGGCATTTAAAGTCTTAGTAGGAGTCCAAAAATCATACAATAATTCATTTGTTTTATTTTCTGATACTTTTATGGATTTGTATTTTAAATTTACATCTTTGAAGGTGATATGTGAAGTGAAGGCGATATGTGAAGTATGGATCCAACTTTATCTTTTTCCAAATGACTCCCTATTTGTGCAAACCATTTATCTTTTTATCATTGATATGAGATGTTGCATTTCTAATGAGGTAAGTGTATTTATTTGGGTCAATTTCTAGACTTTATATTTTGTTTCATTGGTTTGTCTATTCAAACGTCAAATTATTGATGTTTTATAATATTTTTCTATATCTAACTTCACTGGTTCTCTTTTCAAAGTTTTCTTGGATAGTCTTGCTTGTTTAATTTTTTTTTTTTTTTTTTGAGACGGAGTTTTGCTCTTGTTACCCAGGCTGGAGTGCAATGGCTTCTTCAAAGAGACTGCTTTTTGTGTTAGCAGTAGTTCTAAAATGTAAGGTAAGAGTCAGTTTAGTATGTGTATGCTTTTATTGTTTGCTTTGACATTATAAAATCACTTTTTATTAGGTAAGAGTGTTTCGGGTTTTTTTTTTTTTTTTTAAAGCAGTGATACCTTATTCCCAAAGCAAATTCTGGAAGCCCTTTAAAATGAAACACATTTTAAAGGGACACTGCAAAGGTTAGGTAGATTACATAGGAGGAAGCTACTTAACCTAGAATATCATGTTGCATCTGAGCATAGACAAAAAGGAGTTGTTTGGATGATGAAATGTAGACATTTCTGGACACAGATCTTGGTGGCTCTTATGGGTTGAATTGTGTCCTCCAATAAGATATGTTGAAGTTCTAACCCCAGTACCTCAGAAAGTGACCTTATTTAGAAATAAGGTCTTTAGAGAGATGATCAAGTTAAAATGAGGTAATTAGGGCAGCCCCTATGATTGGAGTTCTCATAAAAAGAGTAAATTTGAACACAAACAGATATGCACAGGGAAGATAATATGAAGACACAGAAGGAATGTCTACAAGGAATATCTAAAGCTACCAGAAGCTAGGAGAGATGTATGGAACAGATTCTTTCTCAGAATCCTCAGAAGGAACCAATCGTGCCGATACCCTGATTTCACATTCCATGGTCCTCAGAACTGAGACCTAACAAATTTCTGTTATTTAAACTACCCAGTTTGTGGTACTTTGTTATGTTTGCAGAAACTAAACACAGCACCTATGTGGCCAATTGGACAGAATTTTGGAAGTGGAGTGTCCTACACATTCCAGAATGTAGGTTCATTGTAAATAATGTTTATCTGACATGGGTTAAGGACCTTGAGGCTTGTTATTTATCAAATCAAAGATCTCTTCAGGCTCAGGAAGTGAACAATCCTTATAATTGTTGAGTTCATCACTTAAGAGTTGGAAAAAGCCGATTTTTATGTACAAACACTTTTTATGTCTTAAACCAGAGAGAGTAACTGGTAACTTGTTCATAAGTATTTTGTTTGGCCTACACAGTATTTCAAAAATAGGGAGAAAAATGTACTTGCCAATATTTAAAGATCAGATTTCTTATAAACATTTCTGGATGCTATGGTTTGAATGTCCCCTCCAAAACTCATTTTGAAATTTAATTGCCATTCTTACAGTGCAAAGTGGGACCTTTAAGTGGTGATTAAGTTATGAGGGCTCTGCCCTCACGAATAGATTAATTGTTACTGTGGGAGTGGGTTAGTTATCCCTGGTGTATAGGGTGACAAATAGGATGAATTCGGCTTGATTTGTTCTGTCTCTAGAGCTCACTTCTGCCTTCTGCCCTTCTGTCATGGAATGGATGACCTTCGCCATATGCTGATGCCACACTCTTGGACTTCCCAGCTCCAGAACCATGAGCCGAATAAACTTCTGTTCATTGTAAACTACTTGGTCTGTGGTATTCTATTATAGCAGCAGAGAATGTACTTAAACACCAGATTTCTGGTTTTGCTGGAAAAATGAAAAGATCTTCATTTCCTCATGACAACAGTTGGCATTGCTGAAAATTTGCTGCTTCCTTTAGTCAAGCCAAGAGTAATTCTGTCAGCTACACAGCCACCAAGCCCACTTACTGGGCTGAGTCTAAAAACCCCTTCCTGCAGCAAAGTAGGGAAATAATAAAAGTTAGTGATTGCTCAGCACCATAATGTAACAGGTGCTTCCTAGATATTTATTCAACAAATATTTATTGAGGGCCTACTAGGTGCCAGACATGCTCTAGCTACTTGGAATATACCAGGGAATAAAACAAATGACCCATGTAAAACTTACATATTAAAGTGGATGAAGGACAGAATCAAATAATAATTATGATAAGTAAGCAAATCACATGGTATATTAGAAGGTGATAAATTCGAAAAAAAAAAAAAAAAAAAAAAAAAAGAAGAGTAGAGAAGGGGAATTTCAAGTCTTGGGAGAAGGTAAGTTGTGATTTTAAATGAGGTGGTCAGGGTAGGCCTTCCTGAGGAGACATTTGAGTGAACTCAAGGGAGGAGAGGGAGTTAGTCATACAAACTTACTGGGGAAGTTTCAGGCAGACAGAAAGGCTAAAGGAAAGGTCCAAAGGCAGGAGTGTGCAGTGTTACTGGTGTTTGACAAAGGCAAAGAAGCAAGAGTGACTGGAGCAGAGTAAAAAAGGGGAGAGTGGACAGAGGAGAGCTCAGAGGGTAAGGGGCTGTGCCAGAATTTGAAAGAGCTTGAGAACTGATTTGGTTTGAATATCTGTCCCCACTCAACTCTCATGTTGAGTTGTAATTCCCAGTGCTGGAGGTGGGACCCAGTGGGATATGCTTGGATCATGGGAGTGGATCCCTCATGGCTTGGTGCTTTTACAGTGGTAGTGAGTTCTCATGAGATCTGGCTGTTTAAAAGTGCATGCCACCTCTCTCTTTCTCTGTCCCTTTCTCTCTTGCTTGCTCCTGCTTTCAACATGTGACATGCCTGTTTCCGCTTCACCTTCTGCTATGATTGAAAGCTCCCTGAGACTTCAGCAAAAGCAAGTAGATGCCAACATTATGCTTCCTGTAAAGCAAGCAGAACCATGAGTGAATTAAACCTCTTTTCTTTATAAATTACCCAGTCTCAGGCATTTCTTTACAGTCATGAAGGAACAGACTAACAGAAGGCCCTAATAAGGACTCTGGCTTTTACTCTAAATGAAACAGAAGCCATTAAAGGGTTTTGAGCAGAAAAGTGATCTCATCTAATTTAGATGTTGAAATAATTACACAGCTGCTCTGCCGATAGCAGACTGTAGGGCAAAGAGGGACAATGAGGGAAGAAGTGTTTGGAGGCTTTCTGCAGTGATCAAGAAGTGGCTTGGACCAGAACGGTAGCAGGGGAGACGTGTTAACTGGTGAAAGTTAGGATGTCTTTAAAGGTAGAGTCAATCTCCAGATGGATTAGATGTGAGGTGTGAAAGACAGAGGCCAAACCAAAATCCCAAAGGTTTCAGCTTGAGTAACTGCAAGGATGACTTACTATTTGAGAGTAATAAGCTGTAGGAAGAGTAGATTTCAAGGGGAAAACCAGTAGTTCTGTTTTGGACAAGTTGACCTTGAGATGTATATTGGGTATCTGAAGGAAACATTGAATAAACCGTTAGATACAAGTTTGGAGTTCTGGGGACTTGTCTAGTTGGCAATAAATCTTTCCTCTTCTGATCTAGTCTCATAGCTTTAAATAGAATATAATGCCATATAATGCCAATGACTCCCAAATATTTATGGTTATGGTAGATTCTAGACAGATGGTAATGATGTGCCTATTGCCAGCAAAAGGAGGGCAGGGTTTCTAGCGCTGCCTCTTTATCTCCGATTATAGAACAGGCATGGTTTTAGTTCCAATGCTTGGGTCTCCCTGGATTCATTCCTTTGAATTCCTACCCAATATAATGAGGGTCAATACTTTCGCCAGCTTTACTAAGTCTTACATCTGGTGAAGTGTACAGACCAATTTGAATCAAGGTCTTTAGTCCTTACCTGGGGCTCTTTCTTCCATGCCGTCATGCCAATCTTTGTCAAGACTATTTTTCAAAGGCTCATTCTCCTTGCTTCTTATCTCTTTTCTAGGAATTTTAGTTTATTTCTTTACTTCAGAAATTAATTTCTCACTTCATTTTAGTAGCAAGAACGTTAGTGCTGAGAAACTGAAATATTAGGAAGAATCATTGACCAAGACTTCCAGGCTCTAGACACTAGGTGTGTCTTGCTGTAATTAAGGAAACCCTATCTGCTCCGTCATAGCCCAGTTTAACGTCCCCAGGAATTCCATCTTCTGCAGTCTCAAACTTTTCCCTTTTTCAATTCAGTCCAATTTATACTCTTCTCTGAAAGTGGCTCCAGGTCTGAAGAACCGTGGTCTTGGGGGAAGAGAAAAGGCATGTGCAGCTGTAACCAGGCCCACATCCCCTAAGTTGCTGGCCCATGAAGTTATGGGGTGGACTCAGGCGCCACGCTTTGTCCGGGGACCTAGCGCTGTCCCCCTCTGGTTCCCAAAAAGCGGAGGTCTTCCGGCGCGCTCCCCTGCCCTGTGGGCGGGGCCTACTGCTCCCGCTCCCGCCTCCCCGGCTGCGCGCGGCTGCGGGCTGTGGTCACGTGAGCACAGCAGGGCGGGGGAGGGGCCTTGATTTCCGGGCGGCGGAAGGAGACGCGGCCGCGTGAGGACGAGGCTATTTGAAAACACGCTCCGGGAGCAAGAGCGTGAGGCCGGCGGTGCACACTGTCGCCCTGTGGGCTTTTGCTCGCTGGGTTTTCTCCTCGGCCTCCGAGCCCCGGCCGCGGCCGGGCCCTCAGGTGAGCGGCCGTCGCCAGTCGGACTGGGTTCTCCCGGGGCTCACGACTGAGCGTGGTGGGGCCGTCGCTCCCGCTCCGCGGCCCAAGCGGGCAGGGTTGGCCGTGGACGATGTGCTCCCCCGGGTCTGGGCCGCGGCGTCCCTCGGAGCTGGGCCTGGGTGTGCAGCAGGCACTGCGGGGGCGGGCCCCTCTCGGGCGTTTGAGGAGCTTCAGGTGACTGGGCGGGTTCGCCCAGTTTCGGGTCCGAGAGAGTTTTAGGCCCGGGCGTGTGAATCAGGCCCCACTTCCCCGACTCTGGTCCTGGGCGGCATCCACTGGAGAAGGAGCACGGTGCATAGTACTTCTGGGATGGATGCAGGACCGAAGGCGGAGTGGGGATGAGCAGGCGTCCCATGTTCCGCCTTCTGGTCGCCCAGGCGGGAGAGTTAAGCGAGCGGAAGGGGACCACAGTTTTCTGGAGTCGCGCCTGCCCGGGGCATTTGCTTTTTGGGAAGTCTGTCGCCCCTGGTTGGCCACTCCGTGGTGTTTGGAGGAACTCGTGAGTTTAAAGGATTGGGGAGGAAATTAGCAAAGGCCGAGTGCAGTATGCTTGTTCTCTCTGGGCTTTTTTTTGGGGGGGAGGGGGGGAAGAAGGTGGAAATGGGGAAGGGTAAGAAGGTGGCAGGCAAACTATTAATAGTTGGAATTTAGTTCAATTGAAATCCTAATAACGCTAGGATCTGCCTTTTGTTGGAATTAGCAGGAAAAACCTACAGTAGGAATATGTGACGTTCAGCCTTGAAACTGTTGGGGATCGCAAACCTAAGGACTGGGGATGTGAGTTCCGCCCCTGAGGCTGGCGTTCCTACTTTCTGCTAAAAACCGGCCACTGTAAAAGTGGCTTAGTGGGACTTTTTGATTTGCTCTGTTAGGAAAATCTTTTGTTATAAGTTAAAGTCAATTACTAGTAGAACTTTCAGAATTCTTCGTGTAAAAACGCTTTGTGTACAGTAATAATATTACTAGTTTTAAAAGGCCAAGGAAAGGTCAGTCAGCCCTCTTTAATTTTCGTAACAGAGAAAGCATTAGTATGACTAATACAAAGCTATAGATAATATGGCATAAAGTTGACAGTAGACTACTGAAGATTCATCAGGTGGTTAATGGCTAAATAGAACCCAGAAGAGTGGGGGAGGAAGCGAGTTAATTTTTCTGAATGTCCTGTACCATTTACTTTCGTCTCTGGTACCAGCTAGTAATAAAATTGTAGGAAAAGCTCACAACATGTGCTTGCTTAATTAAAACCATTTTTGTATTAAAAGAGGCCAGGTGAGTATCATGGCCTTCTTTTTAGGCCTTATTCCTTCCCCAACCCCCTGGCCCCCTCGGCTTTTTTTTTTTTTTTTTTTTTTTTTAAAGACTAAGGTAACTAGAGATGTGGGTGAGATGAAAACTTGGGAATAGGAACAAATGAAATAAGGTAAATTGTTTTGCCACGAAGACTTCCAGTCTTGAAGTTAATTCTGGTGTGTTAAAGGTTATTTGCAGAGCTCAGTTCTGTGAATGAATCCCTCTTCGACTTCTTGATAAAGGAGTGTCTTCCAAACTTTTCTGACGTGCATCGTTAAAACGGGTTTATTACCACCTATCTTGCATGGTTCTGTGCGTATTGCATGCAAAGGTACACAATGCATCTAGAACCGGGCTTGGTATGTACTGATCTGAGACTTTAGGGACACGCACCTATTTATGCTTAGAGCATAACCACTATGTGCCAGGCACAGTTCTGGTGTTTTGCAGTTGTGCAAAACACTCTTCATTGTAGTACCTCATCCTATGGTTATTTCTGTTTTGTAGATAGAGATTGGGACAATGTACAGGTAGAAAGAGTACGCGTCTGGATAAGAACCTAATCAATCTGGTTGTAGAATTGGTTCTTAACCTGTGAGAAATCCTAGCTCGTGGCGATCTAATATAACCCTGTAATTAAGTGAATTTGGATATAGTGTAATAGCTGATTGGCTTCGCAATTCCTTGAACTTGAGCTGCTCAGTATTGCACTGGCCATTTTATTACTACTGTAATAATGGAAACTTTAGTTTTACTCAATTTCTTTATGCCCTCATGTATAGCATTGCTGCTTTTTTTTGAGACGGAGTTTCGCTCTTGTTACCCAGGCTGGAGTGCAATGGCGCGATCTCGGCTCACCGCAACCTCCGCCTCCTGGGCTCAGGCAATTCTCCTGCCTCAGCCTCCTGAGTAGCTGGGATTACAGGCACGCGCCACCATGCCCAGCTAATTTTTAGTATTTTTAGTAGAGACGGGGTCTCACCATGTTGACCAGGATGGTCTCGATCTCTTGACCTCGTGATCCACCCGCCTCGGCCTCCCAAAGTGCTGGGATTACAAGCTTGAGCCACCGCGCCCGGCCGCATTGCTGCTTTTTATGGCCAGGCACAGGGTAATTATGATAGACCAGGAGATGAGGGGAAGTTTTATTTATTCCAGAGGTACTTACCCTATTCGAGTGGTGTACAGTGGAAGGCAGAGCTCATTATTTTTGCGGGTGTGGAAGAGGTTTCAAGAATCATTTAGCTGCTTCCAGGTAGAGGAGGCTATTTTTTTAAATAGAGGTTACTTTGTGATAGTAGATAAAGCTGGAGAGGATGGATGGGGCCACATTAGGCTAAGGAGGTTTTCCTGTGTGTGAGGAGTAGGAACAGCTGAGAACTCTTGAGCCTTGGTCATGAGCTCTGTGTTTAGAGAGAGCTCTCTGGTAAAGGGCCAGTGGACTACAGAGTAGACATTAGATAGTAGGCAAGAGTACCAGTGTAGAACGTATTGAATGGTAGAAATAAAGGATTTCTTTAAAGTAGTGGCCTGGAAATGGGTAAGAGACACAGATCAAAGATTTTCATGTGTAGGTACAAGGTTTGGAATGTGGTATAGCGGGGGAGTACAAGATGGCATGGTGTTATGCCTGAGTTATTTTAATAGTGACTTAGCTGGTCTTTGTTCCTTATCTCCCTGTTACATCATATTTCTGTTGATGCTGCTTTTTACCCTTTTTGGTGACCGAAGAGGAATACTGTTTCCTGTTTATATCTAGTCTGAATGTTACTTTTGCTGTACTAGGTTTATCCCTTACACCTGATCTTTACCTTGTTTTCCTTGCTCATGAAAGGCCTGTTAATCTCCTTGCTGTATATTTTAATCTTACCCATTTTTCAAATGCTCAGCTAAGGTTCATAAATCTTTTTCTAACCATTATAGGCTGCATTAAATAATAACATTGGTTTTCCAACTTTGCTTGATATTTATTGCTAGAGAGGTTCCTCCAGGGAGTACCAGCAGCTCACCAGCAGATAGAAGTTCTATCTCTAGCAAGTCTGTGCTGCACTCCTACACAGGAACAAAGGAAAAGAAAAAAACACTTTTCAAAAGGTTTCCATTTAGCACATAGCTTGACAAAATGTTCCCTGACCCAAAAAACTTTTCAAAACAGTGGCAAGACTGTTGCCTTGTTACAGTATTTTATGACTGAGTTTTTAATAGTTCTTAACAGTATTTTTTAGTATTTTGATCTTTCAGCATACTCACCAATTCTTGATTCTGATTGAAATGTTAGCGTAATGTGTTGGGAAATGCCTTTTTCTTCTTTTATCATTCATCCTTGTCTTTATCCATTGCTTTTAATTAATTCTTTTCATTACAGTAGTCGAGAATGACTAAAAAAAGAAAACGCCAAGATGATTTTCAAAAAGTAAAATTGAAAGTTGGTAAAAAGAAGCCCAAGTTAGAAAATGCTACTCTTACAAACTTTAAAACAAAGACCATACATCTGCCTGAGCAACTCAAAGAGGATGGATCACTTCCAACAAACAATAGAAAACTTAACATAAAGGTAAACCATCCATCTTGTTTTGATAAAATAAGATTTTCTTTGGAATCATATAGAATGTTATATTTTGTGAAAATTTGTTTCAACTCTTAAATACTTTGCCTAGGGTCATAGGGTTTATTGATGTTTGGAGTTTATCTTTTACCCAAATCTGATCTCTTATCATACAGCTGTGTCTTTCCACTTCCTCCAGAAAGATTTGCTAAACTAAATGCACAGTCGTTTATCCCTGGTATACCTATTTGATGATTTAATTCTTTTTTTTTTTTTTTGAGACAGGGATCACTCTTACCCAGGCTGAGCACAACGGGGTGCTATTATGGCTCACGGCAACCACGACCTCCTGGGCTCAAGTGACCCTCCTACTTCAGCCTCCCAAGTAGCTGGGGCTATAGGCGAGCATCACCATCCCTGGCTATAAAATTTTTTTGTAGAGACAAGGTTGCACTATGTTGCTTGGGCTGGTCTCAAACTCTTGGATGCAAGCAGTCCTCCGACCAAAGCCTCCCAAGGTGCTGGGATTGAAGGCGTGAGCCATGGTACCTGACTATATCTGCAAATAATCCTTACGTGTTTTTGATAATGTCAAATTTTTGATGAACAGTTTTCTAGCTGTTTTTATAGCTAATTAAGATACAATCCTGTCATTCACTTTTGAACCCATACAGCACATAGCTTATTATAGGTTCATAGTAAATACTTGAAGTCAATTGAAGTTTGAACAAGTGTTGCTTAACAATTTAACAACTTTATGGAGACATAATATACACATAATTAAAATCACACACCTAAAGTGTACAATTTATTGGTTTTATTATATTTACAGAG